CCAGTAATGCCGAGGTTTTACGAAGAGGGAAGCTGGACTCAATTTCTCGTGTTTTTAGCGACAACTTGTGGACTTCATGGTAGACCTAATCTGTTCGGTGAATGCATTTGTCAGCCAGGATACAGCGGAGAGTACTGTGATGAGCCGATATGCGAAAATGGTGGCACAAGGTCGATGTCTATCTGTATATGCAAGCTGGGTTTCTATGGACAGCTGTGCGAGTCAAGTGAGTTGAACGGGGCTTTACAGTTGATATCGTCGCAGGTGAACGGGGCGGTCTCAAGAGACACAGTATGAGCCCGTCATTTTCAAAAACCGGCTGTATTCTTCCTAAATCGATCACTAACGTATCAATCAGTATTGGTGCGAAAGACAGCCGGATGCGGGCTTACTATGCCCCTCTTAACTCCCCCCCCCCCTACAGCGACGATATCAACATACATGTAAGTGTGCAGTAGCCCTGACGGATCTAAATCCAAACTCTAATGTTGGACTCAATCTGATGTCCTTCTGACTGCTGCTTAAAGGCACCCGATAATTCCTTTAGGATGAGTAGCATTAATACGCCTGGCAGGACGGGATCAGGGCACGCCATCGTTGTGATAATCACGAGGGGGGAGGGGTCGTAGCTGACCGCGAGGGAGGGGAGTCGTATTTGGTCCGAGAAAATTTTTTTGATAGTTGATTTCTCTTGTTTCACGGACGCTATAAGGGGGGGGGGGTCGTACTTGCTCGTTGGTGGGAGGAGGGGGGTCGTATTTGTCTTTGAGAGGAATCTGCGGCGTTGGGAAAAACTTTTTCCGGTTGTTGGCTTTTGCGGTCGGTTTTTCCCGTTTCAATGGTGTTATATGACGCCCCCCCCCTCCGCCCGTCCCCTAATCATTGCATTCAGCTGGTGGCACTGCCAAAGATTCATACAACTACTATCCCCGATAGTTGAAAATAGTAGTTAGTTTCTGACGACCTCCCCGTTCGACAGTAGAATTTCAAGGAAAAACTGGAAATTTTTTGGGAAATGCCGGAAAAACTGGAAAAAGTGGAGGGTACGATGGTGACTATCAGAGGATGGAATTGGAGGGGGATCGATTGTGAGCAATTCATCACAACGCGATGGCGTGCCCTGGATGGGATGCCGTGCCCCAGAGCAGGCGCTGCGTTGCACCTTTCCAAGAAAGGTACCCTTATAGGGCCCTATCAAGCTGCAACATACCGACCGGACGCCCACCGCGCCGCCCGCCCACAAATGGACGACCTACCTGATGCTCGTATTGCTTCATTTGCGAAGTAAAATATGAAGCGAAGGGGTTGACATGAAGCGGCCGTGGTGCTGCATGGTTATATGAGTTGGACCCGTATCTACCGTAGCGGTTATTGGCAAGATGCCAAGGAAACTCGTCCGAAACCCCTTTTTTAGTCATTAAGACTGAAGGCTCTCTTCGCAGATTCTTGACGATTTCACTTCGTTTTTTCGCCATGGCCTTGACGATTCACTTCGTTTTTTCCCAATTTCCTTTAAATGCACCCTGTTAGCATTTTTAGATGGCGAGATCAGATTATCTGTGTTTGAGTCTAACTAAATAGAGGCATTTTATTGGCAGAATTGGCAGAATGGAATAATGGACCATATGTTGTATTTCGTGTAAAGCGAAACCCATCCCTCCTTAGATCCTGCGCCGACGAAGGGTCCGTTCCTCTTATTGTGTGGACGTTATCACTTTATACTATTTATATCTGGAATATATTTGCTAAGGTACCTTCTGCCATGATCTCTGTCAATCCCAAGCATGGTGTCGGAGAAGTTGTTTTCTTCTCACCACACCGCCCCCTCCATCACCCCATCACCTCTCTCCTTCATCTTCCTCCACAGATTTATGTACAGACACGACCTCTTACCAGGTAAGTCCGCCAACTTACCATGGAACTTTGAATGGAGACCTGGGTAGATCGATAGAGTCTATAAGGTTATTTACAAATATAGATAGCAAAACTGCAACCTGCATTTCACAAGCAACTTATGAGCAGGTAAAGTTTGTAATGGTGCAGTAGGGTGGAAGGCTTGGTGGTGAGCTGTGAAGCATAAGCGAGGAACTGCATACGTAGAATCGAGTCGTGGTGGTTCAGTGATAAGGTTTGACGTTTGACGACTCGATTTGACGGATGCGATCCCTCGCTTATGCTCCACAGCTCACTACCAACCCGTTCACCTGACTCCACCCTACCACCATTACAAACTTTACCTGCTCATAAGTTGCTTGTGAAATGCAGGTTGCAGTTTTGCTATCTATATTTGTAAATAACCTTATAGACTCTATCGATCTACCCAGGTCTCCATTCAAAGTTCCATGGTAAGTTGGCGGACTTCCCTGGTTGATGTCTTTCAAAAACTAACCAAAATTGTATATTGTGGACAGTGCCTTTCAATTAACAAAGCTATAGTCGATGAATGACCCTCCAAGGAAGGAGAAAAACGAAATGAGATCTTGGAGAACACCCTAGGAGAACCTGGCAGGCTCCCTGGACGAGTTCTCCGACCAGCAAAGTGATGACCTGCTGCCTCAGGCCCACTAATCGTTTCTTCGCGTCATCCACTGCTAATATCATCTAGCAGTGAAAAGAATTCAAAAACGCTGGGTAAAACCAAAATCATGACAAAAAAACTGAGTTTCGATGGGCGGGGCAACTAGGGAGGCGTCAGAACTGCCACTTATGAGGGCGACAGGGCGACGCTGCGAAAGTGGGATGATTTCAAAAACTGAGGACCAGGCTTTTGTACAAGGGAGGGCGCCTACGAATTGCCTGAGGGTGGAAACTCTTCAAGTGGACAGAGCCCCCTCCCGAAGGACACCTTCAAGCTAGTGAACGAACATCTAAAGTTAGTGCAGCGCCGATCAAGGACCCCGGCGAGACAAGGATTCCTCGGCGAACGCTCGATCCTGACTTAGCAAGATCGCTCTTAATGGCGACTCTCCATCTCTTCTTTCTGGCTATCCATGGTCGCTTTGAGCCTCAGCCTGGGCTTTGAAACCCAGTATTTTTATGAGAGATCTCAAAACCCTACACGAACACGTCCTCGTTCATCCTAGATAACACGATTTCAGGCATTTTTCCATCAGTTTCTACTACAACACAAGAATCCGCTACTTCTTTGGCTCCTGAAATTACCACTAACAGTGCTCATGCATTTTGTTACTTGTTGATTGTTTTTTCTTTAATTGCATTAATATTGTTTCTGAATACCTGTTATGATCGAGTGATCTGATGACTGTATAAAGTGCTTCAAATCGCAATAATCTGGTAGAGTTTACAGCGTCTTTTGCAGCCGTTCCCAGTTTTGTGCAGTCGCCAGGGAGTGGACTGCATGGTCAAGACGCGTGTTGGGTCGGTAAATTACAGCCACGCGCAGTTCGGAAAGTTCTTGTTGTGTCACTTGGCAAAGGATGTTTGGCGCTGCATAACTGCTCTAGTTGCACCGCTGACGAGGAGGTGGGAATAGTCAAGCATTCGTTATTTATGCCGCGCCCTCTTTCTACCGTCTCAGAGAGAATGTTGGAGGAGCCGGTCATAGACTGTATCCGCCCAAGCGTCAGCAAATTTATGAATTGCGTTCGTGTCAATGTACAGCCTTGCTGCTGGGACATGTCAGGGGGGCTGGGTTTGGCGCAGCGCGCAAGCGTCTACGCACTACTATCAACTTTTCTCTCTTTCTATGTTGACGGATAACGCCTGTTGACGCCCCGCCAAACCTCACCCCTCCCCCCTTCCCACTCCCTTGCGCCCCAGCGTCCAACGAACAAGACTTTAATATGTTAACATTGCGCATGAGAGCGTTCCTGTTCATACACGAGACTGATATGATTTGAAAACGATTAAAATCGTTCGGTTGCATTTTTTCAAGGGGGAAAAAATTAAAATAGCACAGGTCTGTCGAAAAGTTGTGAGTTTCCTTCCGATATTAGGAGTTACTGGTGCTTACTCTTAGCACATACATTCGTTCGAAGTTTGATTCTTTCGAACGACTTTGCGCCTTTCTTTCAGCGTGACGTAAACTTCTTCGCTGTTCTCTGTTCTTGTCATTTTGTTCCCTGACAGCCCTGTTCTTGTCTGTTTGTCAGAGTCATCGCTGTTCGTTGATTTCTTTCGTATTGATGACGCTTTTGCTCGCCGCGGTTTCGCAGATGTCCAGAAAATTTCGTAAGCTGTAAGTTTATGGGCAAAACGCCATGCCTGCGCGAAGCCCACATCGCCTGCCCTCCGATGTTGAGTTCAAAATGGTTCTGTAAGTGATCAGATCTTCCGTTGTAAACTTAACATCTATGAAGCGGCTTCCTTCATGACCGCTTCATCTCCGATCTCGGGTTCCGCGATTTTGATGCAACGGCTTAGTCAATGTTGCATTTTTGCAAGGTTTCGCCCCGAAGCTTTCCCATCCGCAGGGCTCCGCACGGCAAGGGCTCTTTGCTCTCTTTCAGTGTTCACTCTTTAGGAAGCTTTCTCTTACCGTAGCTGGCTAGATTGAGAACCAAAGATACTCTCCTTACCCCCGAGCTAGAGTAGGCGTGCCATTTAAACATGGCACGGAACTTGTTACTCGTGGAATATCAGTCCGGGACAACTGTCATCTTTATCGCGTGTTGAAGCAGAAAGACGATTCTGTGTTGGACAGAGACACGACAACAATTGTGTCAAGATGAAAATATCTCACCAGAAGCATAGACACCTTCAGGTTAAGTTGAAACATGCGGCCACGCCTACCCGATCTCAGGGATTTCGAGTATATGTGATATCTGACAAATACATTACGAAAAGAAAAGAAAATCGTTGAGAACGTCCCCAATAAACTGCAGTTGTTTCTGAGCGGGAGGAGAAAATTTGTTGTGATTAATACAAAAGACGAGACAAGACGAGCAACATTGGACCTGAACACCTCAAAGGCATAAGGCACGATAATTTGCTACTAAAATGGAAGCAGAGGTGCTGTGTAGTGAGAATATGACGAGAAAGCGAAGTGAAACGGTCAAAAACCTGCAAAACCTTCGTTCTACATGACATAGAAAGCATTCTTGGACGAGTTTTCCGTTGACATCGTGCCAAGAATCACCGGTACAGTAGATGCGGTTGCATATATGTAATCATATATCCATGTAGCATCGCAGCCGCTTCATATCAATCCCTTCGCTACTGTACTTCCCATATGAAGTGTTACGAGCAGCATCGGTCGGACATTT